AAGTTTTGGGGTCTTCATTCAAAAAGGAAGCTTTTTCCTTCCCCTTCCTCTCCTCAGCAATGATGCTAAACATCTTCAGTATCCTCTTAGTCACGAACTCCTCCAGTCTGAATCTGATCTCTGGGACACCTTGCAAGCAATGGGGCACCCTGGTTTCTTTTCCTGCTTGAGATTGGTCACCATCTTGCACTTTATCGCAATGTCCACTTTCTCGTCGAAGAATGCCCATCCAACCAAGTGCTCCGCCAGATACCAGAGATGGCGTGCAAAGGTGATGGTAGCAGCATTCACGATCTCTTTGTCTGGATATGCTCGAAGGGTTTGGAGGAAGTACAGTGGTCCCTCGATAATCATCGGGCTCGATAGTCGTCCTTTTCAGAAATCATCGCGTTATTTTTGTCCAAACATTGGCTTGCAAATGGTCGGTTGACTCGCTAATCGTCGTTCGTCCTGGACGCGTACTCACGGCTCTGAGCTGCCTCGGCCTCCCTTCCCAGCCAGTGTACCATTGCTTACCAGTGAGCGACAGTCCCCTCACTTGTTCATACGAAATATTTCATAATATTCCATTCATTTTAGTGCTTGCAAGTGCTAAATAGGCTACCATGGCTCCAAAGAAAGCTCCTAGTGCCAAGCCTTTGGTAAAAAAGGTGAGAAATACGATTGAATTTAAGAAAAACATCACTGAACAATATGAAAGTGGCGTACGTGTGGCCGAACTGGCCAGGATGTATAACAAACCCCATACAACCATATCTTCCATCTTGGCAAAGAAAAAGGAAATCAAGGAAGCTGTTGTTGCTTGGAGAAAATTGTGGCCAGATTGTGTCCACAAGAGGGATTTTGAAGGGTTTGTGGCTGACCCTGATGAGCCTATGTCAACTGTGAAATCTACTGTGGCATTGGGGAGTTCCATGGGGTTGGATGTGAGTTTGGAGGATGTAGAAGAGTTGGTGGAGGACCACAATGAAGAGCTAACCACTGAGGAGCTGCAAGAACTTCAGCAGGAACAGCAACAGATCACAGCTCAGAATCTTGCTGCAAAGGAGGAGGAAGAGAGATGGAAGAAAGTGCCTTCTTCAGAAATTAAGGAGATTTTTGAAATGTGGGGTAGGATGGAGATTCATGGAGAAACATCACCCTGAGAAGGATGTTGCAAGCCATATCGGCAACTTGTACAGTGACAGAGTCTTGGCCCATTTTAAGGAAGTTTTAAAGAGACGCCAGAAACAGAGCTCTCTGGACACTTTTTTTTGCGAGACAGGACTCCAGTGACCCAAGCTGGTCCTAGTGGCATTAAGAAACAGAGAAGAGAAGTATGTAACCCCAGAAAAGGACTTAGTACCTGAGGTGTTATGGAAGGGGATTCCCCTTCCAAACAGTAACTAATCCAATCTCTCTCCTCCTCCAGTCTTCCATACACTAAGAATTGCCAATAAAGGTAAGTGTTATGCTGTTAATGTTTCTTACATCATGTCCCATTGTATTGTTTATGTACTACATCTATATTTCATGTAAAAAATTTTTTTGTTTTAATACTTCTGGGTGTCAGGAACGGATTAATTGTATTTACATTACAGTGGACCCCGGCATTCGATGGCATCGGTATTCGATAAATCCGGTATTCGATGCATTATATTGCAAAAAATTTTCCTCGGTATTCGATACGATTCGTACGAGACCTGTCCACATGTGGCCTGAACTGCCCCATGTGTGCCAGTGTTTACAAGCCAGCCAGTGTGCACGCATCTAAGGATACATTCGGTACATTCCATATTATCACTGTGTTTGGTGCTTGTTTCTGCAAAATAAGTCACCATGGGCCCCAAGAAAGCTTCTAGTGCCATCCCTGTGGTAAAAAGGGTGAGAATTAGTATGGAAATTAAGAAAGATTTTGAAGGGTTTGGGGCTAACCCTGAGAAGCCTATACCAGTTGTGGAATACATTGTGCCTACTTCAAAAATTAAGGAAATGTGTGCACAGTGGGTTGAAGTGCAAACCTTTATGGATGAAAATCACCCTAACACAGCTATTACAATGACAATGTTGTGGCCCATTTTAGACAAATCGTAAAGGAACGGGAGGTACAGAGCTCTATGGACAGATTTGTTGTGCGACAGAGGTCCAGTGACTCTCAAGCTGGTCCTAGTGGCATTAAAAGAAGAAAGGAAGTAACCCTGGAAAAGGACTTGCTACCTCAAGTCCTAATGGAAGGGGATTCCCCTTCTAAACACTAACACCTCTCCCCTCCTTCCATCCCATCAATCATCACCAGATCTTCATTAAAAGGTAAGTGTCAATTATTTTATTGTTATTGTAATTATTCTATTGCAGTAAAATTAATATTTCATGTAGCAAAATTTTTTTTTTCATACTTTTGGGTGTCTTGCACAGATTAATTTGATTTTCATTATTTCTTATGAGGAAAATTGATTCGGTTTTCGATATTATCGGTATTCGATGAACTCTCAGGAACGGATTAATATCGAATACCGGGGGTCCACTGTATTTCTTATGGGGAAAATTTATTCGAAAATCATCCATTTCGATAATCGTCGCACTTCCAGGAACGGATTAACGACGATAAACGAGGGACCACTGTACAAGTCATTGCGAGGGGCTTACATGCCACGTGGAGCCTCGTTCCAGAACCGGATGTAGATCAAGGCAACGAAAAGTGAGAGTAGGTTATGCTTCAAGTGAAAGAATTGTGACATGCGAAGTACGTCACCTCACGTCGGAAGCTGGGAAGTTGAGAAAAACTCAAGGGTACATCCTACTAACCACCATTCCGATGTACTTTGTGTACTCGGTGCTGAGGATGCCATCTATCACAGAGAGAAACCAAAGATGAAGTTTTGCACAACCTTTAAATATGCATGAAATGGTCCAAATTTTGGCACACAGTACAGGGTCATACAGTGGAATCAAAATTACATTGTGGAGTGCACTTCCTTTGAAGTTTCAAAACTAACATATATTTTTGGACTGGTCTAATATATACATTTTCATAAACATGAGGGAATAATCTTGTTAATCTATCACCCACCACACTTATGGAAATTTGGGGAAACCCCAAATCCCCCACTGACAGCTAGTGAATATTAAGAGTATAGTATTTTGCATACCTGGAACAGGGTAGAGGCCCTTACCATCTTAATAAATCCCAAAGTCTTGCACTGCCCTACTTAAATGAACCCTTAGATTCAATGTAGCATTTTATGAGATTCTGGACTCAGGATTATTATTATTATAATCAAGGGGAAGCGCTAAACCCGGAGGATTATACAGCGCCTGGGGGGGATGTGGAAGGCATTCAGGCTTAATTCGGGGAACTGGAGCATAGATCCAATTTCCTAAATCAAGAGCCCCTCACCAACATCAAGGAACCTTCCTTGAGGGGTCTGGACTTAGGAACAATTTAGGGAGGCTTGAATCATTAATATTAGGAATATAGTAGACAAGGATGTTAATATTAGGACATTACCTTAGAGAACTAAATTAGTAAAAAGAGGAATTAACATATCAGCTGGGAGTTAAGAGAAAAATGACCACATGTTTGTTCTCGTAACAGTAGGTGAGGTTTTTTAGTTAGTTAAAATGTTTAAATTTTGAACCCAACCCCCTCCCATTTCCCGGGGTGGTAAACAAAAGATTTTCGAGGGGACATAAAAGGGTTTTAGGGACTGGACTTTCCCAAAATTTTTATAGCTGAACAAGTTTTCAGAGGGGAATGAACTCACAATTTACAAAGGTAAAAGAACTCCAAGTTTGGTCTGTCCCCAATTTATGACAGTTACAAAAGGTTAAAATTTTCAGATTCGAGGGACGTAATGGGTCCCGGGGTGGGCCCCCCAAATTGTGATAGCTGAAACTGGTACAAGGTAATGAGCTCACCCAAATTTAAAAAAGGTAATGAACTCCAGGTAGGTCTTGTCACAATCATGACAAGTTACAAAGGTATTTACAGATTACAGAGGTACGTAATGGGTCCAGGGACTGGGCCCCCAAAGTTTTGATAGCTGAACTAGGTACAAAGGTAATGAAGATAAGATAAGAGATAAGATAAGATTTCGTTCGGATTTTTAACCCCGGAGGGTTAGCCACCCAGGATAACCCAAGAAAGTCAGTGCGTCATCGAGGACTGTCTAACTTATTTCCATTGGGGTCCTTAATCTTGTCCCCCAGGATGCGACCCACACCAGTCGACTAACACCCAGGTACCTATTTGCTGCTAGGTGAACAGGACAACAGGTGTAAGGAAACGTGTCGAAATGTTTCCACCCGCCGGGAATCGAACCCGGGCCCTCCGTGTATGAAGCGGGAGCTTTAGCCACCAGGCCACCGGTAATGAATACTGTAAGAATGGTTACTTACGTTTATACATGGCTACAATCATGAACAAATTATAGTGTAATGAGCAATTCACACTTCCACACCCGGTCACAACTGTAACGAGTTATTGGTGCAAATATTGATTGTTGGTAGGTGAGGTCAGGCAGAAATTTGCTAGAGGATTATTTGCTCTGCCCTGTAAAATAACAAGTCTGGAAGCCAAGGAAGGAACAGCGGAGGTATTCTCAAACTACAGAGGATAATTTGTCTATCCGTGAGCCTGTCATGAGATGATTTGAGTGTTTATCTGCTTAATTTAGGTGGTCACTGAATGCTAGTGAAGGCAAATGCTGGGGGATGGGGGGAGGTATTTCTGGTTTGTTTCGAAGGGGGATGTTAATTCAATTGTCTTGGGTCAAGAGCCTCCCTGAAAGGCACTACAATCCAAGTTTTTATTCTCTAGTATTTCCCGAGATTAAAAAAAAAATTGTCACCCAGCAACTTGGGGAGAAATCTTACACATTTTCTCTACACAACACACGAGTATTATTTAACACTCGTGTAACCCCAAGAGAAATGAACCTAAAACGTTTCTTCACATGATCAATTTTACTTAAAATCACCGTATAATAGTACATAAAGCCTTAAATGTTGTAGGAACTGACCTCCATGACCTCCCTCCAGTGTGTTCCCGGGGTGACTGACGCAGACGACGCCACACATCCACCATCCTCCCAGAATACAAATTTCACTCTAATTCCGCCTTCTTTTTTTCTCTTTTGCTTTACTTCATTTCTCTAGATAAGAGAATTTACAATAGTTGTGACTATAGATGTGTTTTTTTTTCACCAGGTTTTCAAAATATAAACCCCAAGGATTTGTTTATTTGTGTGTATATACTCCATACCACTAAACTCACTGGCAATGGAGCTATAGTCAAACATCTTATTCTATAAATAATAATAAAATATAGTTATAATATTGTGTTTCTGGGCAAACTATATTAACTTGTTATATACTAAGTTACGAGTGTATGAACACTTTTATACGGCTATGGTTGAAGCCGGTCACTAGCACTGGCCGGTCTAAAAGTGGAGAAAAAGTTTGTTTGGATTATTATGAAATGGGATCAAAGTAGACAGAAGCAGATTTTTTGGGGTTATATTCTTGTAGATCCCCCCCCCCCCAGTAATCAATGAAATATGCTTGATTTTTAACTATTTAGGCAACAGCTCTTGAGATCTACAAAATGCTTGGTCCGGATTTATTACCTGGAGTTTACCTGGAGAGAGTTTCGGGGGTCAACGCCCCCGCGGCCCGGTCTGTGACCAGGCCTCCTGGTGGATCAGCGCCTGATCAACCAGGCTGTTGCTGCTGGCTGCACGCAAACCAACGTACGAGCCACAGCCCGGCTGATCAGGAACTGACTTTAGGTGCTTGTCCAGTGCCAGCTTGAAGACTGCCAGGGGTCTGTTGGTAATCCCCCTTATGTGTGCTGGGAGGCAGTTGAACAGTCTCGGGCCCCTGACACTTATTGTATGGTCTCTTAACGTGCTAGTGACACCCCTGCTTTTCATTGGGGGGATGGTGCATCGTCTGCCAAGTCTTTTGCTTTCGTAGTGAGTGATTTTCGTGTGCAAGTTCGGTACTAGTCCCTCTAGGATTTTCCAGGTGTATATAATCATGTATCTCTCCCTCCTGCGTTCCAGGGAATACAGGTTTAGAAACCTCAAGCGCTCCCAGTAATTGAGGTGTTTTATCTCCGTTATGCGCGCCGTGAAGGTTCTCTGTACATTTTCTAGGTCGGCAATTTCACCTGCCTTGAAAGGTGCTGTTAGAGTGCAGCAATATTCCAGCCTAGATAGAACAAGTGACCTGAAGAGTGTCATCATGGGCTTGGCCTCCCTAGTTTTGAAGGTTCTCATTATCCATCCTGTCATTTTTCTAGCAGATGCGATTGATACAATGTTATGGTCCTTGAAGGTGAGATCCTCCGACATAATCACTCCCAGGTCTTTGACGTTGGTGTTTCGCTCTATTTTGTGGCCAGAATTTGTTTTGTACTCTGATGAAGATTTAATTTCCTCATGTTTACCATATCTGAGTAATTGAAATTTCTCATCATTGAACTTCATATTGTTTTCTGCAGCCCACTGAAAGATTTGGTTGATGTCCGCCTGGAGCCTTGCAGTGTCTGCAATGGAAGACACTGTCATGCAGATTCGGGTGTCATCCGCAAAGGAAGACACGGTGCTGTGGCTGACATCCTTGTCTATGTCGGATATGAGGATGAGGAACAAGATGGGAGCTAGTACTGTGCCTTGTGGAACAGAGCTTTTCACCGTAGCTGCCTCGGACTTTACTCTGTTGACGACTACTCTCTGTGTTCTGTTAGTGAGGAAATTATAGATCCATCGACCGACTTTTCCTGTTATTCCTTTAGCGCGCATTTTGTGCGCTATTACGCCATGGTCACACTTGTCGAAGGCTTTTGCAAAGTCTGTATATATTACATCTGCATTCTTTTTGTCTTCTAGTGCATTTAGGACCTTGTCGTAGTGATCCAGTAGTTGAGACAGACAGGAGCGACCTGTTCTAAACCCATGTTGCCCTGGGTTGTGTAACTGATGGGTTTCTAGATGGGTGGTGATCTTGCTTCTTAGGACCCTTTCAAAGATTTTTATGATATGGGATGTTAGTGCTATTGGTCTGTAGTTCTTTGCTATTGCTTTACTGCCCCTTTGTGGAGTGGGGCTATGTCTGTTGTTTTTAGTAACTGAGGGACGACCCCCGTGTCCATGCTCCCTCTCCATAGGATGGAAAAGGCTCGTGATAGGGGCTTCTTGCAGTTCTTGATGAACACAGAGTTCCATGAGTCTGGCCCTGGGACAGAGTGCATGGGCATGTCATTTATCGCCTGTTCGAAGTCATTTGGCGTCAGGATAACATCGGATAGGCTTGTGTTAATCAAATTTTGTGGCTCTCTCATAAAAAAATCATTTTGATCTTCGACTCTCAGTCTGGTTAGCGGCTTGCTAAAAACTGAGTCATATTGGGACTTGAGTAGCTCACTCATTTCCTTGCTGTCATCTGTGTAGGACCCATCTTGTTTAAGTAGGGGCCCAATACTGGGCGTTGTTCTCGATTTTGATTTGGCATAGGAGAAGAAATACTTTGGGTTTCTTTCGATTTCATTTATAGCTTTTAGTTCTTCCCGCGATTCCTGACTCCTAAAGGATTCTTTTAGCTTAAGTTCGATGCTTGCTATTTCTCTGACCAGTGTCTCCCTGCGCATTTCAGATATATTGACCTCTTTTAGCCGCTCTGTTATTCTTTTCCGTTGCCTGTAAAGGGAGCGCCTGTCTCTTTCTATTTTACATCTACTCCTCCTTTTTCTTAGAGGAATAAGCCTTGTGCATACATCGAGTGCCACCGAGTTAATCTGTTCTAGGCATAAGTTTGGGTCTGTGTTGCTTAGTATATCTTCCCAGCTTATATCGGTTAGGACTTGGTTTACTTGGTCCAACTTTATGTTTTTGTTATTGAAGTTGAATTTGGTGAATGCTCCCTCGTGACTAGTCTCATTTTGTCGGTCTGGGGCTCCACGCATACATGTCTGAACCTCAATTAATCGAGAAATTGGGAAATACATTGATTTTTGGAGTGTGATGATGTATTTAGTATGAAGGGCAACTATGATATAGGAGGAGCCTAGGGAAAAGGGAAGACAAGATTAATGGAGAGAGGAAAGGTTGCTTTAGTGGCCAGAATGTCTACAGTTTTAGTTTTGGACTGTTTTGAAATAGACTGAGTGGCCGATTTTTTTTTTTTATTAATAGGATAGCTTTGAGTTAAAAGAGCATTTTCTTGTCATCTGTTTGTAATACGGAAGTCATACTATGAAACACCGAAATATAACTGCTGAAAGTTGCAAAAATTAAATTTTTTTACCCAATTCTTTTGGGAGTTTACCTTATAATAATTTATTTTTAACGCTTTCTAGGGCTTGATTTATTCTAATGGAAAATGTAAAATATGTAAGTATTCATCGAAATTTCTTTCTGCAAGTTTTTTTTGTTGTTATTGTCATGTCGTGGACATGAAGTGGACCGGTCAAGTGGCAAATCGACTGGCCCATATGGGCAGTGCCCCGTCAGGCATTTATCAAAATATCTGACTCTCCTCATTACTTGTTCTAAAAAACAGATGTACAACTTAAACTATGCTCAATTTCTCTAGTATTAAATAGTCTGTAAGCCATTAAATTTAGTCTGCCCATAATGCCATGGCATGATAGTGGCTATCTTTGCACTGCAACTCATTACTGTAATCACATAATCTTAATGTAATCTTGCAAAGAAATATAAATTTGTATTTGTATTTGTAACTTGAGGCCTGAATGTAGTATGCTTGTGTATGAAGCCAGGCACAGATATACACAAATTATTAAGAAAGGGATCACAATTAAGTTTTTGCGGATTCCCTTTCACAAAGGCCTCCAGAAGCACGAGAAAGTTAATGATATCCCAAAACAAGCAGTATATAAAGAGAATGTTGAGTATAACTTTGTTTTTTTCAAACAGGAGTTTACGAAACCTTGTCAGAAAGGAACTAGAAAACTAGCTCTAGGAAAGTGAAAAGTACAGACGGAAACTAGCAGATCCAATATCTATCATAATGAAATGTGTAAAATCAAACATTTCCATGGAGAAAGTAACAAGGTTGGTAGATTGTAAGATGTTATTTCTTCTAGACTAAAGATAGGCTTTAAGTATCTCTGGCAGTACGATTTATATGGAGATGTCAATGACATAAAATGCGAAGTGTGTGGACAGACAGGCCATTCACTGGAACATTATATCTTAGAGTGTTCAAACACCCAATCTTTGAGACACCTCCAGTGTTCTGTGCTCTGTTAGTCTCAGGTAAACACTCACACACACACACACACACACACACACACACACACACACACACACACACACACACACACACACACACACACACACACACACACACACACACACATACACACACACAGGCTGGACATGTGGTCCAGTAACTGGCTTCTCGAATTCAATCCTGCCAAATGCAAGGTCATGAAGATTGGGGAGGGGCAAAGAAGACCGCAGACAGAGTATAGGCTAGGGGGACAAAAACTACAGACCTCACTCAGGGAGAAAGACCTCGGGGTGACCATAACACCGAGCACGTCACCGGAGGCACACATCAACCAAATAACTGCTGCAGCATACGGGCGCCTCGCAAACCTGAGAATAGCGTTCCGATACCTTAATAAGGAATCGTTCAAGACACTGTACGCTGTGTATGTTAGGCCCATACTGGAGTATGCAGCACCAGCCTGAAACCCCACCTGGTCAAGCACGTCAAGAAGTTAGAGAAAGTACAAAGGTTTGCAACAAGGCTAGTCCCAGAGCTCAGGGGAATGTCGTGCGAGGAAAGGTTGAGGGAACTCGAACTGACGACACTGGAGGACAGAAGGGTCAGGGGAGACATGATAACGACATACAAGATACTGCGGGGAAAAGACAAGGTGGACAAATATAGGATGTTCCAGAGAGGGGACACAGGAACAAGGGGTCACAACTGGAAGCTGAAGACTCAGACGAGTCACAGGAACGTTAGGAAGTATTTCTTCAGTCATAGAGTCGTCAGGAAGTGGAATAGCCTAGCAAGCGAAGTAGTGGAGGCAGGAACCATACATAGTTTTAAGAAGAGG